ATATTACTGAAAGATCTGGGTGTAGCTGTTTGACACCCCCTCTCTCTTTCTTTCTCTCTATGTCTTTTTTCTCCCACTCTCTTTATTAACCGCTTCTCTCGCGATTGGCCGAACCAGGGTGTCGATACAATGACATTGTTGAATAAAACACTGTCGTGTGTGCAGATCTCTACCTGTTTCCCTTTCGCATGTTTGTCTCACAACGTCTGCGTTTGTGCGTACATTGCATCTATGACGTCTGTTAGGATCGTCGAAAATGTTCTGTCTGTGTCCCTGTAGCACATCATTTACGTGTTTAGCGTTTACCCGGGCCACATTAGAATGGAATTCTTATCCGAACTTTTTACCGATAACACAACGATCGTTGTCGCATTAGACGCGGACTATGGCGTACACATTGCAGGTAGGTGGGTTAAAATATTTTTTTTTTAGTTTGATTGTTTACTCGAATCTCTTGGTAAGACATTAATTTTTGTCTTTGTTTTTTTTTTTTTTTCCTTTTTCTTAAATTTCACTACAATCGAAAAATATTTCTTTCATTTCGGCGTTTCATTGAATATTATTAAACAGTTTAAAAAAAAAGATAAATAATTTTATTCCGCTTCAGTGTTTTATTGAAAAAAAACACCCCCCCCCAAAAAAAAACAAACAAACTAGGGTTAGATATTTTTTAAATCGTTTCTGTTTAATTTAGTTCTGTTAAAAATGAATAGTGTTTCGTGATTATTGAAATTATTTACATTGAGACAGTTGTCTTCATCTTTGTTGTTGTTATATTGTTTCGGCGTTTGTGACCCCTGGCCTTCTTCTGGTGTTTGTTGATCCGATTAACTTTCAATGAATTTCGAACTGAACGGAGGTAGACTGTTCTCTTTCCGTCGTCCATGTCTAGGGATACCTCGTCTTGTTCTTGTAGACTACGAGGATCGATACATACTTTAAGAAACATTTTGATTATAACAGTAAAGATTAAGACAATAGTTCAAATTTAAATAATGGAAATAACTTATCATCCCAGAAATTCAAACAGTGTTTTGCGATTTTAATTCAAACATAGTTTCGTGTTTTTTTTTTAATTTTAGTAAATTGTCTTACCGGTCATTTCTTTTCGATTTAAAATTTGCCTTATTTGTTTTCAATCGTATTTTTTTACGTAAGACTTTCTTCTTTTTTTCATTATTAAAAGAGCTTCTTTAAAAATAGAACAGGCGGTCGCTGTTTTTAAAAATAAGTTTTTAAGATTTCGATATTTCTACAGAAATCAATTCTCACAACGCGTTTACCTTTCTATCTGTTGGTGATGATAAATACTTCCACAAGATCCGCCACAAAAGCCTCCCAAGATACCAAACCCTCCATAAACATGTATTTTTTTTGTAAGTTTAATTAGTCTTTATTATCGTTATAATAATAATAATAATAATAATAATAATAATAATAATAATAATTTTCTAATCGTTAAGCATTCCTACCAGTAATAGATGACTTTCGCGCGGGATATTAGTAATATCAAATCTCCTTTGTACATCTGTCTTCTCTTCAGTATTCTTCTTTTTGTTATTCAGCCTTCGAGTTTTCATACCAGCAGTAACTGGTGGCTTACATAAGAGATCAAGTGACAACACTCTTCTTAGCATTGAGGCTGACTTTACTAATGCTGTCGTCTGTATGATTCCGACTCTTGCACTGATTTAAAGTTCCAGTATTCTTTGTCCTAGGATCTTCGTGACTGTTCCTAGTGCTCCGCTAACGACTGGCACGTTCCATAATTTGTTCATATCTTTAGAGGGGTCGATATACTTATCCATTTCACCGCTTTCATTAAAATTTATTATTATTATTATTTTATTTCCTGGTATGTACTGATTTCTTTCCGAATCCCGACCAAAATCCTAAGGTCAGAAATGGCGTCATGACATTTTCCACTGAGCAATTTTGAAAAATAATATATATATATATATATATATATATATATATATATATATATATATATATACACATATTTTACGTAGATAAAGCTTTCGTAATGTGTGGGCTGTACTCGTGAAATTTTTTTGTATTTATTTAAGGTATGGGCTACGAGGAATCCCTTCATTGGGTCTATTGGAATCTTTTCCAATCAATCCGAGAAATTGTTTATGTTCTAATATGCCACATTTTTGAGATTACCATTTCAAGGTTTTTGTATTCTTTATTTTTTTAAAATCTCTAAAAATACATTGCAGTCTGCAGCGACTGCCATGTCATTATTATTATTATTATTATTATTATTATTATTATTATTATTTCCTTTGATTTCTGTTGTATATACATTTTCTTCCGGGTCCCAACGAGAGGCCAAAGGTCAGAAATGGCTTCATAACATTTTCCATTAACCATTTTTGTGAAAAAAAAAAAAAAAAATAAAAAAAGACCTAAGATCACAAACATGTTGACAGATAAAGCTCTTCGTAATGTGTGAGCTGTACTTGTGAGTACTATTTTTGTATTTCTTTAAGACATGGGCTATTATTATTATTATTATTATCATTATTATTATTATTATCATTATTATTATTATTATTATTATTATTTTGAACAAACACAAATGCGCCTGAGAAAGCACCTGCAAATGGGAATTTGCCTCACATTTATGCATGTCCCCTCCCGCTGGCGCACTGTGCATATCTGTTCATGAGCAGGATTAGCAGAGGAGCATCGTGGTCAGGTGTCGAGAGGGAATACTCTTTTTTTATTTTAAAGTTTGAAGAATAGGGCAGCCGAGGTGACTTGTGAATGACGTCTATTATTATTAATCGGAAACTGGCTGACCGAAGTTGTAACCAAATTGGTTTGCGACTGAAGGGGTTCCTATATATCTAGATATTTCTAACTGGGCCCCACCTACAAAATTCATACGTTGTTTTTATCAGGGTCTATCACCATATCACGCACAATTGGCTGTGATGCATGTGCTTGGTATACGCTTATCAAACTCGGTGCATTGGTGAACACATTGAACTTCGTATGTTTGCATCCCGGCTGTTACTTGTTTGGTATGCATCGCTTTACTCCAATAATAACAATAGATTTAATATCATAATTTTCCACTGCCGCTTCGTGTTACGTTTACCACCATCACCACCACCACCGCCGCCGCCACCACAATAATAATAATAATAATAATAATAATTTCAAGAATGTGGCATTTAAACACAGTTCTAATAACAGGGGCATTTTGTGTGCGTGTGGCCCCCGTCGATCTTAAGAAATCTTGGATTTGCGCCCATTCTCATTTCTCAGTTGCTGATGGCGGTGTAGCCTCTGTCATAGCTGTACAGGCCCACACGAATGTGACAGTCTCGACTGTAACGAATGCATGGGAAGATGTTCCCCCCCTCCGACGTCGCGTTTTTTGTTTAATTTCCGTCGAGTACGCTTCTCCCTGGTTGCAAACCTTCGTTTCTCCTCTCCTCGCTTCAGCCCTCGGTGTAAGTCGCGTCTCCAGCGATCATTGGCGACGTCTTCACACTTCTCGATGACCATGTCCCTCACCCTCATGTCATTTTTACAGACGCCCTTGAAGCGAAGATGCGGTCGCCCTCGGGCCCTCTTTGCCGGTGGCCAGTGTCCCGTACAGAAGGACCTTCGGAATCCTCCCACGTGGCATACGGTGTACATATTCAAGCCAGCGGATCCAACGCGTTTAAGGTGGGTAACTGGGCACGGGTGAGAACTACGGTACTGGTGACCCGGTCAGACCAATTGATGCCCAGAATGCATCTCAGCGAGGATGAAAGGCGTTGAGGCGTCTCTCATGCCAGGGACACTAGGAATGTTGAAAATAATATTGGTACACATTAATAAAATCCGATAAAATCCCACCACTCTCGGACATGTAAAAGATTGTGCCAAGGATCATAATTTGCATACCCAGAAAGACTCTCTCAATGCAATATTATCAATAACATTCTAAGAAAACCCTTTTTTACCTAAAATCTCAGGTCAAAAAATTGAAACTCAGTAAAGAATATTATGAAACTGACTTTTCATAATATTCTATACTAAGTTTCATAAGGAAAAATGTTACTATTACTACTACTAGTAATAATAATAATGAGCTGATGACGATGATGATGATGATGATGATGATGATAAACAACTCATACGAATGGTTTTGATGATCTGATCATTTTAGATAGAGAAGCAGAAAGTTCTCTTTGATAGCCTAATAAAATGATGATACTAAAGTAAACATCCATTCCGATAGTTTATAGGCAAACTTACCAAAAATGCTACCAAACTCCTGTAAGAGAATAATGGAAGTATTTTGAAGATGGACAGAAAAGAATAAAGAACAAATCGAAAAAAAAGAGAATAAAAGTATTCGCATTTGAAAAAAAAAAAACAGACAAACCCCCCCCCCCCAAAAAAAAAAAAACAACAACGTAAAAACAACTTTATATCACGTTACCTCCCCTCGGTCTAAAAAAAGGTCATCCAATTATTATTGCTATTATTGTCGTTTTTATTATTAGTGTTATTATTGCTGTTGCTATTATTATTATTATTATTATTATTATTATTTTTATTATTATTATTAAACAAACAAGTCTCTCTAAGAATGTAACTTGGAAAGTGAGTCATGCCGTCGGAAACAGGATGTCTATATACTTGGGTGGTCGGATTGCAGATTCCCCGAGTAATTGGGACAAGTAGCATTCAGTTTTGGCCGAAATGCGTAAAATGCTCAGAGTAATAGCAAATGAAATGATGATGCTTGCTACATTCATATTCGGGTACTGTTTTACATCCTAAACACACACACACACACACACACACACACACACACACACACATATATATATATATATATATATATATATTTTGTTTATACGTTTTTTTTTATGGATACAACTTATTTATGTAACTGTATTGTTTTTAATGAAACAGTATCAATTACGTTTACCGGCTTGAAAATTTGAGAACTTTCGCACCAAATATGTGTCCTTCGACATGAA